AGACTCTGTTAGAATTAGTAGTAATATAGGGTACTACCAGATACTAACTATAAATTCCTTTATTAAATCCAAAGGCCAAATGGCCTTTCTACAATTGCTCTGAACATGTCTAAAAAGCCTAAATAATAAGCAATCAATACATCCAAAGAGTAACAGACATTCATAAGCATTTAAGATACGAATGGACTAAACCTAGAGGTGCTTAGTCTCATGTGTTGGTTCCATCTTGATCAGGCAGGTATTAGCAATGAACCCTTTAAGAGTTCCCCTTTTATGCCCATTAACAAACAAGAGATGCCATTGCCAATTGCTACCTTTAGCTAAAAAACAGAATTTGGTTGGTTTGGAGTCATTGCTGGTTCAATGCCCACAATCCTTTATTAAGTAGCCCTGATAACTGGGATTTCTTCTTTCTTCTGTTTTATCAGTTACCTTTCAGGCCCAGTTTTTCAAATAAGCCATATTCTTTCAAGGTCTTCCCACAACTGTTAACGGACCTGCAGTTTGCAAGACCTACACAAACGTGTAATAAAATAAAAGGTTAAATTAGTTTTAAAATAAACTACAAAACCCATTTTTCTTCATTCCTGCAAGGTCCCAGGCATATTCTGTCTCTGTATAAGTGTCTCTTCCCTGGCACTAGTCCATCTTATTATTTCATTTGTCTCTCTCTCAACCTCCTTCTATGATCCTTTATGCTCTTACCAATCAAGGCTTTGCTGCTCTTTTGGTACATGCTAAGTTGTCTACTTAAGGATCTCATTACATAGTATCTGAGTACCTCATAATTAGAACTAGCTGGAAACTGAATTCCCCTCATGGTGGAGGGAAAATCATTCTGAATAGGAATAAAAAGGCTGAAAACTCATAATTTTCATGGGATGAAAAGTCTAAAAATCTGTTTTGAGGAACTGAAACAACAAATGTTTGGCTTGTTCCCAGCTCTATTTCTAACCTTTAATGTATTTACCCTCTCAACACCCTTGTGAGGTAGGTAAATGCTATTATTCCCATTTTACAGATAGGGAATTGAGGCAGAGAGGCTGTGACTTTTCCATGGTCACACAGGATATCTGTGGTAGAGCAGGGCTTCCTTTGTCCCAGGTAGCATTTTAAGTACTTGGACCATCCTTCCTGTCTTCATTCTGACACCGAATGAGAGTAAATGCTGCAAGATGAATTTAGGAAACGTATAATTTTTTCAGTAATGATGAAAAAACTAAAGTAGTGGTGCCCACCTTGGTGAATTTGGAAAGGCTGAGATTTGTGAATAAACTTCAAATCCATGAGGTCTGAATGAGTTTGAAATTGTTTAATGCAGGAGAGAAGGGTGTCTCGGGGTGTGTGTGTGTTGTTTTTTTTTTTTTTCTTTGTAATTGTCTCAAGGACTAACTCCTTTTTTATATATATAAAAAACTCCAGTTTTATACTGCTTCCCATGACCTAAGGGTCTGAGCACCTTCAACATGAAAGCAACAGCAAAGTCCCTAGTGGACTTAAAGGAAGCTATTGTACTTCTCCCTTTTCAGTGTAAAACTGTGTTGGGGGTAGGGTTGTGGTTTTTTTGTTTGTTTTTTTAATATTTTATTTATTTTCCTTTTTGGTTGGGTGGGTTTTGGGGGCAGAAAGGATGTCAGTGTTGTGTCACTCCTTTGGAATCCCCTGTCCACCATAGGTTTTGCAGCATTTTCTAAACACAGTAAGACTAAATTTGCCTGGTCTCCTCTGGATGTTTGTTGCGTAGCTGGTCAGATCCCTTAGGCTGAGAATGCTTTATCTCTCTTGTGCTATCTCATTTGCTGTCACATGAAGCATATACCTTCCCATTCATGATTGCATAACATCCCTGTGGCAACAAAAACAATTGCTTATGTGAAAAAAATACTAGCAAAATTTATTTATGTATTTATTTTTTAAATCTTTTAATATGACTTTAAGCATTTGGAAGTAAAGGGAGACTGCACCATACCACCATTGGCTCACGGCAAGTCTGAGAAACATTGATTAATGAAAATCCTCGACCAGCCCTAATGCAGAATTTTAATTTAAAAAAAACCCCTATTTGCAATAAGTATACAAGGATTATCATACAGAGTCTTTTAGAAGGTACAAAGAAATATCTGCTTTTAACATACAGTACTCAAGTGTATATTTTCAACAATGAGACTGCTAGAGAAAGAAAAGATGCATACCTCCAGAACTCTAACATTTTATTGTTTATACAAGTTATAAAAATAGTTTATTTTAGCAAAATAGCACATTTTGCAAACAAATTTAGATTTTATACAGGAGCTAAATTTTTTTTTTCAAGTAGACGTTAGAAAGGAAACACTTCTGCTTGAAGAACAATTATTTTAAAATATAGTAACAAACGCCTTAAAGAACATTCAGACATACATTCCAATTAGTTTATAAATAATCAAATAGTATGTTCAAATACTTTGTTTAATAAACCTAGTCAAATCATATTATGATTTGTCCTTTTTGTGGGCATTTTTTGTACATTTGCAACAGATTCAGTGGCTATGATGATGTGGAGTATGGGGATTTAATTTTTAAAATGATCATTTAATAAAATCTGATTGAGACCAGCTTCTGTGTCTTACCAATGAGCCTCTGGATAAAATAGATATAACTAAACTTGAAGCCAAATCTACACAGGGAAAAGAGTTATAGGGGTTTAAATCAGGTACACTTATAATAATTATGAACAATATTCTGAAATATATACATAGAAAATCAATATTTTCAATGGGAGTGGAGGGTGTTCAGCACCTCTTGGAAAAAAAATATTTTATTTAGGTGCCTAAATATGAGTTTAAGTATTCAGTTTTAAACATCCAAGTGCGTGCATGTTACAAACAATGTGTAACTGACTTAAACAGAATTGATAAGGCACACAGAAGTTCATATGGAGTAAATACAGTAAAACACATGATGGTGAGCATCCTAATAAATGTAGTTTTTCATTCCTCAGTTGTGACTCCTGAGTGTTAAATTCATCCACGTCTATTGAAAACGAAGTGTCATTACTGTGTCCACCAGCCAGATCTTTCACGCTGATAGGAGCACCCATTTATCAATAACGACTCAGTTCTGCATGCATACATGTGAGTGGAGACACTGGGGAAGATCCTCAGTTAACAAATTGTCAAAGAGCTTTAATGGAGCTATGACAGTTTACCAGCTGAGCATCTGCCCCACTGAGTTCAATGGTACTCACATACATAAAGTTATTCATACCTGTACACAGAATTGGGGCCTGTGTCTATGAAATCTTACCAGCATATGCTCTAGAGGGCAGGTAATGTTTATATGCATGTAACACAGAGCCTAATGCACTGCGGGTCAGATTGGAACCTATATGTGTTACAACAATGCAAATAATATTTAATAATTGAAACACTGGGCCCAGTCCTCTTGAAGTGAACAGTTTTAATGAGTAAGGACTGCGGCAATTAATGCCACATTAAGTCATATTCAGTGTGCAGTATGTCCCTCTTCTCCCCCCCCCTTTTTTTTTTAAAAAGCAGAATGCTCCCATTTTGTCATTGACTTAAATGGAAGCAGGAGCAAAACCATCCTGTATAAGTTTGACACATAGCACATAAATACCATGGATGTGGGATCCCATTTAAAAAAAAATACTATAGCACTGTGCAAATCACTTATTCATGAGTTTCTTCAAGTAATAAGCTTTGTTAACACTACATTAAAAATAGTGGACCACACCTTTCAATGTTGATTGCCTTTAAAAACTTAAAAATGCAATCATACTAAATGTAAATATGCTACATTTGCCAAGAGATTCTATTAAAAATAAACGTTAGTTAAGATGTTTATGAAAGTCCAAAATTACTATTTTGTTCAGCTTCTTTATGAATCTCCACAATTAGAGAATATTTGTAATATAAAACAAACCTAAAAAGTATTTGAAATTGCAGTTTTTTAAACATTTTATCACTTACAGTGTCCTAATGGAAGATACAACTGTTATATAAGTGAATCTGTTTATTCCTGTTAAAGAAGCTACATTTGATATAGTTTAATCATGTTTCAAGATAATCTACAGTGCAATTTAAAATATCTGCTTTTAAAACTATAAAAACTTACACATCCAGTTTAAGCCATTACAAAACCATTTTAAAAACAAAGCAAAATGTTGACGGGCATATTTGCAGAAATCTGCACTCAAAAATAAAAAATGTAGTCTAAAAATGTGCATAAATCCCGTTTTACAGAAAACATTGATCAACACCAAAACAAAAAAGTTAATCTGGCAGCGATTTGAATCACTACACTGAAAGAGTGCTAAGGATGCAGTAAAGATAACAGCATACTAAAAGCAGGAAATTCAGACCTCACTCCGGAAAGCACTGAAGCATGTGTGCAACTTGAAGAACATGAATAGTCCCATTGGAATCAGTATTTTGTTGGAGAGAAATTTCCTACAGCTTCTGTAAGTAACAGAATGTGTCTTAAAGTGGCACTGCAAAATGGCTTGGGGGGGAGCATCAGGAATTCAAAGTTCCAAGACCAAATTAATGGGGTCTCCTATACGTTTTTTTTGGTGTGTCTACTGGAAAAATCTGCAGAATATGCTCTGTATGTGTTGGGTGGGGAGTGAGGTGAAGGAAAGTCAGCTACACAATAAACACCTCAACTGCTACAGCTTACCTTTCCTTATCCCACCACATTGGCTTTGATATGACAGCAGAGTTCTACAAGAGGGTGTGGCCAACCACGAGAAGTGATGACCTGTAGTGGTGGGAAGACAATTACTCTGTGCAGCATAAGCCTTTCTCAGGATGGCATACATTACTGCTATCCCAAAAAGCAGCAACTCCCTCTATTGCTTTTAGGGGAGGTATATAACACACAGAGCTGATATTTTTAAGGTACATAAAATGTTTAGGTGGGCAGGAGAAGCTTATTTAGGGACTGTTAGCCCTGACTCCTTGGGGTCATTCTGTGCTTCACTAGCTATGTCTGATTCTTTTAAAGCTTAAGTCCCACAGAGACCGGGAGCTAAAACTTGTATCCAAATTCAAAAAGTAGGTAAAACTTACCATTTTCTAAATCATCCACTGTAAATTGACCTGGATATGGAGATTTAATATTTTAGCTGCTTTTTCAGTTTTCATTGTGCCCAAATTGGGAACCATGACAGAGCTGTGCTTTTTAAACTCCATTTCAAATAAAGTTTACAAGTTTATAAACTAACAGTGATAAATGACATCAGTGATTGTAAAGGCACAACGTGGGAATAACCTAGCTGATAAATTTAGAGAGCCCGGGGGCAACCCTCCCTATTCTGTGCTTAACAAGAACAAATTTAGAAAGATCCCACACTATTTAGAGGACTGGCACAGCACACACTGTGTATTATGAAAAAAAAAATCCCTTGCACAGCACTTCTCAGCTATCCTGGGTACTGACCGAGATAGTGACCTCCTCCCATCTTGGCTGTCTCTTTAAGAGGCATTCTGTTGTACTGCAGCTCACCCTACACCTAGGCACATGTCACTTTTAATTATGAGTATCCTGGCTTTTGGGTGGGCACCTTAAAATAATCTCAGTGTAATTTCAAAGACCCTCAATGTGTCAGCTGCCACTTTCTCTCACACAAATGAGCGTACAACTGTACAGTCCAATATTGGTTAAAGGCACAGAGGATGGCATGTTATGACAGCTTCCATTGACAGGAGACGCTGTGTGGTTTCAAAGCTCAAGTTTCATCATGTGACATAAATTGAGGAGCCATCAAGATCAGGGCTTGGCTGCTTCGGTTAACATTTCTTGCATTAAAATAGCAGCCACACCAGGTGCAACTCTCCCCACAGTGTTCAGTTTCATTGGCAAAACACCCTGAATCAACCTGTCACAATGTAAAACAGAGTGCATAGCAGTGGGTTTTTTATAGTTTAAAAAGTAGTTTTTACTGTTGCATAATTTCAGTGTAAACATTGTGAATAAAAAGAAGTTATCTAAAACAGTTCTACAGTCAGTGCAAGATTTGTGCAAGCTTCTCATCTGATTCAACGTCCACTTAAACTTTAAATAGACAAGTGTTTCTCCCCTTCTCTGTTCTGTAAGAGGGGACAGAAAATATATATTAGAAACATCAACACAGAAAAAGGAAAATCACTTTCTCCCTTAACTTGGCATCTATTAATTTTATACCTAATTTAACACACACACACAGTCAAACTAAACATTTAATTAACCCCTTACCTTCCTAGCAATTATGTTGTAAGCCATTAAACAGTGAACATCATATTTTAACTCTATTTAAATTTTGTTACCGACTATGAAATATACCAGAAATACAACAGTGCAGTTAAATGAAAATAGCCAGGGCAGAACAGTATTTCTGAAACTGCTACCGTACTTAGGGAGTGAAGTGAAGACACACAAGTCTCTAAATGGTAGACCACGGTAAATAGTTTGTCATACTTAGCTGATTTTTTTGCCTCTTTTTTTCCCCTTTGATTTATATACTTTGCGGAGCTTGGTATTTACAGGTCATAGAGCACAATTTTTCCTTACAGTAGATTTCTACTCATATTAAACAATGCTTACAAGAAGTGAGTTTATAATAAATCAACACAAGCATCAAAGCTGTACCCAAAGGGATACAGAATGTTCTGCCTGTGAACATGGGTGAGACTGTCAGCTTTTCACTGAGGGGCCAGTCTTTGCAGGGGGTTTGTTTACAGTACTGGACAGGCTGTAGATGCTAAGCAAATATCAGCTCTCCCTGTCTACTCTGCTATCCCAGGGATGGCAACAGGAGGATGGGCTCTGGGCACGCATGGGCAGCAGAATTGTGGTTGCTGTGGCTGGGAGATTAGTTTTAAAGGTGTGTGGGGTGGGTGAGAAGGGGACTCGCCTTGCCCCCAAAACAGGCCTCACTGGGGCAGTGCCAGGATGCAAACCAACTCCAGCCCCTGGTAGGCAGGGGGGAGCCTCCACTCTACCGTCCGCCCATGTGACTGTAGGGGCAGCACTCAGCCCCTGCTGCGTGCCAGCCTTACCAGCTTCCTCTGGTTACTGAGGCAGAAGGTGCAGATGGGCCGGGGCGCCGCGGCGGGGCCGCCGCCCTGCAGGCGGGGCTGGTACTGCAGGCAAGGCTGCTCCGCCCCCTCGCCCTGCTGCAGGAGCAGCACGTTGGCCAGGTGCGCGATGTAGCTGGCGGCCAGGCGCAGCGTCTCGATCTTGGAGAGCTTGCGGTCGGCGGGCTCGGTGGGGATGAGCGTGCGGAGCGCGCTGAAGGCGGAGTTCACGCTGTGGGTCCGGTCCCTCTCCCGGGCGTTGGCCGCCTGCCGCTGCTTGCTCAGCCCGCTCAGCCGGGGGCTCTTCCGCTTGCGCTTGCCCGGGCCCCCGGCGGGGGGCAGGGACTTGTCCGAGCTGCTCTCGCTGCTGCCGCCGCTCTCCGGGTCGGAGGCGGCACCGCCGCCGGCCTTCATGGCGCTCCCGCCGGCCCCCCAGCCCCATGACTTTTATGCGCGGCAGCTGCCGGCTGGCCGCCGCGGCCCCGGGTCCCCTCCAGCGGCGGGGCCGTGCTTTGAATGGCTGCTGCTTTTAGCTCGGGCATGTGGCCGCTCCGTAAATAAGGCGAGGAAGGTGGAGCTGCGGCCTCAGTGCTCCTGCCCGGCAGCCTTGCACCTGTTCCCCCGGCTCCGCGCGGCTCGGGCAGGGCGCCCCCGGGGCATTCCTGGGGGGAGCGCGGCCCCCGGGGCAGGCCGGGCGCTGGGGCGCTCTCCCGGGTGCCCTTCACCAGGCTGGCTCTGGGCAGCAAGGGGTGAAACGCCCCCGGGAGGGACAGCCTCGTCCGGAGCCCAGAGGGGGCCGTGAGCGAGGGGCTTCCTGGGCCCTTAGCATGTGCTCTCCTCTGGGGGGTGAACAGCGGGGCCCGGGCACACCTGGGGGAGGGGGATTCACTCGCCTGGCCAAATCTGCATCGCGTTGGCAGGACCTCACACCTGCCCCCTACAGAACCCTTCCCGGCGGGGAGGTTGGGTGGATGAGCGCCTCTCTCCCTCTTCAGGTGCTGCTTCCCCTACAGCCAGTGAAACAGGAAAGTTAGGACCTAAGGGCTCCAGGGCAGTTGCAAACAATAACCCTCTCCAAGGCCTGATGCCAATAATAAGCATAGGTAATATCTGTCCACATCCATCCAATTGAAGGATCAAGACACTATGCAAATATGTTGTTGTTTAGTTTTATTGTGGGATAGTAATATGGAGTAATCACTCTGAAAAATAAAGAACATGCTTTGCTCAAGTATATTTTCAAAATAACTGTTGGTTTCAAATGGACGAACAGGCACTCCAGCGCTAGTTCTTTCATCAGCTTTCCCACCAAATACTAGACCAGTGGTTTTCAACCTTTTTTGCATTTGTGGATCCCTAAAAAATATTTCAATGGAGGTGCGGCCCCCTTTGGAAATCTTAGACATAGTCTGCGGACCCACGAGGGTTCTGTGGACCTCAGGTTGAAAACCACTGTACTAGACGTACATATAAATCCAAATCCCGATTTAATTTAAAATGCAGAGCTACAGCAACCAATTTACTTATTAAAGGTCATCTTATTCACTAGTTTATTATGCCTCTTCTCTCCATAAAAGTTTGACAGCCCCTCTGCACTCAAACTCATGGTACAGGTTTTCCCAACTGAGTCATCTCTACCTGATTAAGTAGTGCTAGATGACTGTTTTATGTAGCCACTGGAGTTTATTTTTGTTGTTGTTGTTTGAATTGGAAAGATGGATTAATATTCAGAGTTGGATTAGCAGTCACATCCTTTTAATCATAGGTGCATACACTCAGAATGGACAGCTGCTTTGCCACTCTTGGCTGGGAGTCATGTCCTCCACAAATACAGTTAATGCATATATGTGGTCTCTTGACTGTCAGCACTCAAGTCCATCTGTTAGAATGGCACGGTGCCTGCTTAAAAGTTGGTTGTACCTTCCCTTTGGGCATAGGTGCTAGGCAACAAATGTGTTCATGTGAGCAGCTTACAGAATGCTTAAAATAGTATATTTTCTGCAGAAAGTTCCTTTTGTGTAAAAAATGCTGCAGTGGTGCCTCTGTTTGTCAGTGGGTCTCATCTGTTGCATGTGTAACCCACCTCCTGGGTGTGGTGCTCTGTCCCATCTAGTGGCACCGAGACCACTTAGAGAGAGGGAGATTAATGTGTCTGCTCTACAGCCACTTATAACACCAAAAGACCCTGGTTGTCGGTGGGTGGGATCGAGCCTGGGACCTCTAAAGTTAAATACATGAGCCAAAAGCCATATGACCCTTAGCTAAGGCAGTAGAGCAGACTCATTAATCCAGTGGTTCTCAAACTTTTGTACTGGTTACCCGTTTCACATAGCAAGCCTCTGAGTGCGCCCCCCCATATAAATAAAAAACACTTAAAAATATATTTAACAATATTATAAATGCTGGATGCAAAGCGGGGTTTGAGGGTGAAGGCTGTCAGATCATGACCCCCCCCAGGTAATAACCTCACGATCCCCTGAGGGATCCTGACCCCCAGTTTGAGAACCCCCGCATTAACTCAGAAGGTGTGTGGGTTACATACTTCCCCTAGCTGAGGAAGCATCCCGAGCTTCAGAGACTTCCCAGTTGAAATCCTGGATGAGCCCCCACTTGTAACACTGACAGACCCCGATTTTTCAGTGGGTGGGCTCAAATCTGGGACCTCTGGAACTTAGTGCATGAACCTCTACTGCATGAGCTAAAAGCCAACTGGCTGTTAACTAACGCTGTAGAGCAGACTCATTAATGTCTCTCTCTAAGTGGTCTCGGTGCCACTAGATGGGACAGAGCACCACACCCAGGAGGTGTGTGGGTTACACATGCAGCAGATGAGACCCATTGACAAACAGAGGCACCACTGCAGCATTTTTACACAAAAGGAACTTTCTGCAGAAAATATACTATTTTAAGCATTCTGTAATCTGCTCACATGAACACATTTGTTGCCTAGCACCTATGCCCACTAGATGGGACAGAGCACAACAATAGAATGACTTTTTTTTCCCCATTTTCTTTTTGCTCACTGGGAAATGGGTGCTCAGATGACCAATCTCTAAAATCAACAATCCAAATATCTTATTAGGGTATGCCATACCTTTGTTCTCCTTTTCCAAACTTTATGCTAACGTGGATGAAGCTTTGAAACTAGCATTCTTCAAAGTATTAATGGAAAGTGCATGCAATGTGTTAAGTTTTTACAGTTGTGAATGTAATAGTTATCAGGTGAAAGATGGCCAGTTTTCAAAGGTGGAGCTTCTTAAGGATTGCTTCAGCTCCAGAAAGAGATGGTTTATTTTATTCTAATTTCATTGCTATGGCTATTGTATCTTCTACTAAAGAATCTGCAGCAGTGAGGAAGGAACAATCACAATAGGGAATGCCCTTGTGACAGGAGAACTAGAGATTCTTTAGGTGTTCAAGGATCTTTGTTTGGAAGCTCGTGGGGCAGCTTCTTGGTTGTCTTGCACTTTGTAGCCATTTATACCTCCATTCTGATTTGATGTTTCCCACCCATATTGCTTAGGTTTAGATGACTTTACGAGGTACAGAGGCAGTGGAGAATCAGGCCCGATAGGTTCTGAGCACTCTTAGCAAGGTGTCCAAGAAAATGAACGTACAAAGCAAATAGACATGCTGCCCACTGATTGCTGCTGCAGCAAAGTGTGAAGTCATCAGCAAATCAGTTTATATTATGAATAGTTACATTTATAGTGTAAATTTACTCTGCATATGTATAAAAACAGAGCTTTATATCTTTTGTAATTCCTATACTAACCCTTTTTCCACAAGAACAGTAGAAAGATCCAATCAAGTCTAGCAAAATGAAAGCAAATTGGAAACAGCAGGCTAGATAATTCTGGAAGTAAGATGAACCAAAATGACATTTTTGAAACACCGTGGCCTAGATTCTTAGCTGTACTAGAGGTAAAGAAAGGGGTTTAGGACAAGGGAGGTTTAAGCCACCGTTACAGTCACTTGCCTGAGGGCTGAACAGTTTCTAAACATAATTTAGAGCAGCTTGGAGGAGATGCTGGTTTTACACTACCTGGGCATTCCTCTAATCCTGGGGAATTTACAGCTACTCACTGTACAACAAATATCATGTATTTGCTATGTACACAAATATTAATAGAGGCACCATAAACCTGTTTCTGTTATGAAGATATCGTACCAGTACTTCTAAAAAAGTTACAAATGGAATGTTACCTTCAAGCTCAATGCTCTACCAGTGATAGAGAAGCAGTTCCTAGCTCCAAGCAGCTTGAATTCTGATGTACTTGTCCTATAATTAAAGTGGGATTTCTTCTCTGGAATCAGAGGGGTAGCCGTGTTAGTCTGAATCTGTAAAAAGCAACGGAGGGTCCTGTGGCACCTTTAAGACTAACAGAAGTATTGGGAGCATAAGCTTTCCTGGGTAAGAACCTCAGGACCCTCCGTTGCTTCTCTGGAAGAAATTGTTTTTAGGAAATTTTTTATGTCACATGTCATTGTAAGAAATAGATTCAATGAGATTAAATGTGTTCATTTATTTTAATAGCAGGTGCATGGTAGAATCCGGCATCACTGTGCTTGGTGCTGTACAAATGTATGGGAAATAATCGTGTCCCAAAGAGTTTACCGTTTTAGGCCCTGATCCTGGAAACACACATCATGTGGGTAGTCCCTGGCTGAAAGTGAATAGTAATGAAGTACTACAAATGTATTCAGGGTCAGAGACTGAGAAGCTAAGTAACTATTGTCTTTTTAAAAAAAGAGAGACTCCTTAAACATTTTTCTATGTTAAATGGAACAGAGAAGAGGAGCTTTTTGCTTTCTTATTGGATAATGTGTGAGGCTCCTCAAACTTCAAAATTAAAATTGTAGGCCATATACAGTATTCCCTTAATCACATGGTGCATATTGGCTATATAAGTACCTATTTAGATAGATAAGCACATGCAGCTGTCACTGACAGTTTATGCTCTTTGTAGTTTAACATTGTATAGAAGCATTTGAAATCATGTGAATTATAGCTTAATGTGGAGTGTGTGAGTGTAAGTATATTAGCATCATATTTTCATTAGAATTCAAAACTCCTACTTCTGTCCACAAGAAAATTTAAAAGTGAGATGTAGAGAAGCACCTACAATTGAATCTCAATATACATTTAAAATAATGCTTTTGGTTTTGTTGGAAAGTAAAGTTCAAATCTATATAAATTCAAATTCCTCAATTTGATCCTAATGACAAAACTCCAATTGACTTCAATGGAGTCAGAATGTCACTCTTGATATTCTCTGATAGCTGAGTAGTAGGGAATTGCTTGTATATCAGACTCAGATGTTTGCTTTCGAGGGTTCTACTGTCTTTATCACTTCATGTGTGTCCTTTTCTGATAAATATATTTATTGGAACTAACCTTCTCTTCCCCCTCGTCCCAAAGAAAACCCAATAAAAACTGTTGGGATATTTCCAGAATTGGAATGCATGTAGTATAATAAACTGGCAAAATAAGGAAGGCAGGAGAGCAGCAATACTTAGAAAGAATAATACTGTGTCTGCTGAGTAAAATAAAACAACTTTCACTGGCACTACAGAAATAGCTAATACAGAGGTTAAGGGCAAAAAGGTGGTCAACAATTCTTGTTTCTACCTCCAAGACAGTTTGAGAAAGTAGAGTAAGAAATGATTTTACAGATAAGAGAGGCTTGTATAAAGGCCAAAACATTGGTGACTTTAATTACTTGGTTATTGATTGTGCATAAATGTAATCCCAATCTAGGGGGAGCATGTTTGTCAAGGAAGATACAATAGTGCAGGATTGCTTTTTTTCCTTTTTACAATTTGCTGAATTGCTAATACAAGCAGGGCTGCATGAATCTAATATAGAATAGTGGGAAATATTTTATGTGTAGCTGACAGGACACAGACTGAAATTTGCCCTTGTTCTGTAAACACAGGTAAAGAGATATGAGGCCATTGTAGAGGATTGTGTAGCAATATGCAACAAATTGAAAAAATAAGAGTAAATCAAACTAACCACTAGACAGTACCATTCTGCAAACTAGTACATTAAAGCCTTTATAGTTTTCAGACACAATATTATAGTAATATAAGGTATTCGTAGGAAAGAACTTTTGAAAAGGAGCATTGGGAAAACTATAAATATAAAGAGAGCAAGTTAGTTAAAGGACAATTAAAGAAGAAAACAAATCAATGGGTAAGAAAATTTGTAGTTACAGTCAAGAAGCTTTCAAATATATTTACATTAAACATAAAGTATAGGAGAAAATTGTTTCACTTGCTTGGAAAAAAAGACACTTTAGCGACAATAAAGCCTTTAAACA